GTCTGCTCCGCCGCGCCGTCTGATAAGGGGAAAGACGCTGCTACCTGTCCCCACTTGTCAGAGCTGATTTTCTGGCCAAGGTTTATGAGCAAGGCACGGACCTCCCACTGCTGTATTCTCATCCTTGTCTATTCAAAGGCCAGCCAACCCTCTGGCTTCAAAGAGAAAAGATATGAAGCAGAAACGCGGGTTTAAAGGGGATGTCCCTTTGCCGAAAATCCCAGGAATCAGGGAGGGAGGCATCAGAAACAGGCATTTTTTGAGGATAATGCAGGCTTTTGATTATCTCCGCAGATAAACCTGCACTTCAAGAGAAACACAGACTGCACCTATGGGGTTTGTACAGCAAGCAAAGGAGTTGTTTTGACATCACTCACAGAAGCACCTCTTTTTGAGCCCAAAATGGAGAATTAGGAAGGGTCAAATAAGATTTTCTATTCCAAATACTTCAGCCTACACCCATGATCACTACAAAAAAAATACAAAGCAGCAGAAGAAAAGAAATCAGACCCTGCGTCTCTGAATCAGGTTTCATTTGCAGTTCGCTTTGACATAAACATTTTGGAAAGCCCTTGGGAAAGCACTTGAAGGACATCTCCTGTTCCCACTTGCAACTGGGGTGTTGCAGAAAGACTGGCTGGGGAAATGCAGCCCCCCCCACACCCTCTGTACCATCCGGTACGTACTGGGCTCCCATCGCTTTATCCCAAGCACACGCGAGCTGTGCAGGCCACCAGGCGGACTAAAAAAATGAGGTTTTCCTATATGGCTGTCCAACAGTCTTCTGTGGGAACAAGCAGTTCAGGCTGTGAGTGGGCTCACATTTTGCAAGCAACAGGGGAAGTCATTTGTCAAGGAAAAAAATTAAAAGATTGCTGTCTGGATAATTCGGTACCTGTTGTGTTTTTCTCAACAGATTTGCAAAACCACCTGTAACAAGAAAACATTTTATGGAAGAGGAAAAACAAATACTGACTTCTTGAGATCCCTTTTGGCTTGATCTTGCATGGTTTCAGTGGTGCATGGAACACAGCTTTCACAAAGGGATCACAAGCTACCTTGCAAAATCTAATGAAGCTTCACCTCTCCTAAGAAGTAAACGTAGAATGGATTGGGTTGGTAGGGACCTCAGAGATCACCTAATCCCAATCCC